ACAGAAAATAGTGGAAAGCCTACTAATAGCCAACATTAACTGCTGCGCTCTCCAGGATTTTGTTTCAAATGAGATGCCAATATATTTGTGTTCCTTTCAAACCCAACCCAACAGATCAATACTTACATGCAGAGCTTTTGCTATGAATTCTGCTCCAATGGTACCAATGTCATTAAACATCAGATTGAGGTAAAGTAAGGTGTGATTATCCTAGAATACAAGGGAAGACAGTTGGTTATTAGCAAGGATGTTGGGAGCTTTAGTTCAAAAATGAAGGGAGGGCAATATAATTCCCATCCCCAACTATAGATCAGTAGTGTTCATTGCTTTACATGCCAATGGGGCAAGAATATGAAATCCACCCGGATATCCAGGAGATTTTCCCATCATAATATAACTATGCAGAGTACAATGTAATCTGAAAGGAGAGCACATGGGGAGGACTCTAACTCTAAATCACTCTCCCCATGTAAACCATGCATGGCATAGGATTGTGTGATGCCCACCCATATATATTCTAAAACAGTGTATTCTAGCCTCGGGTCCCAGTTATTGCAAGACTACAACTTCTGGAAAACATAGGCCATTCTATTACGGAGGCTGAAGGCACATCAGAAATCTGGTTAAAAATCACCGTCTACAATCTACACATATCATTGCCAGGCTAATCCCATTTTCCATAAGGAGCACTGTGTTCCTTTTACTGTGGGATAAGTCTCAACAGACATGGAAACCCCAATAAGAGAAATCACTGGTCTTCACACACACACACAAACAAATACCTGAAGGAAAGCTGCAATGTGTACTGCACCAGCATCTGTTAACAGGTTATACCTCAGGTCCAGTCCTGAAAAATAACAATGAATACAGAAAGGATTAGATTGGATTTTGCCAAACCTAATCGCTTTTGTCACACTCTACTGATTTTATCCATCAATGATTTAAACTGTTTTTCTCTTCTGATTGCACTTTTATACATAAGACAAAAGGAGCATCTACATTGCAGTATTAATGCAGCCTGACCGCCATGGTTCAATGCTATTTTGTGTGCGTGTATGAGAGAG